AGTCCTTCAGAGGTTTATCTACAGAATTTAGGTATGTCTAGGTACTGGCATACAACTTAAAGTCCAAAAGTTTAAGTTCCCAGGCTAGTTAAAGCAAGAATAGAATCATTTCTCCATGCCCCAGCCTACCCGATTTTAATAATTTAGCAGCTTGACCACAGTGACTCCATTTTATTTCTTCATGGTTTTCCACAGGCGTTTGTTATGATTACAAGCATTTGGATTCAAACAAATAGTAAAAACAAATTATGAGTTTTTTTTTTCTTTAGGAGTCAGAGGCTATGTTTAAGGGGATGGATAATGAGTAATGGTTCTGAAAGTGCAGGAGGGAGCCAAAAAGAATGTCTTCTCCTCTCTGGAGAGTAGCAGCCAGTTCAACCTGCAAGGGCTATGGGACCACAGCATCAGGGCAGGTTTAGTGAAGCCAAGCAGAGCTGAGGACCTGGGGGTGCTTGTTTGTTCATAGTTGGGTCCAGAGGATGTGGGGAAAGCCAGGGTGGAGACTGGGAGGAGAATAAGTGAGTATGTGCCTGGCAGGGCTGGGTGTGTGTGTGTGAGAGAGAGAGAGAGACAGACAGACAGAGAGACAGAGACGGATGGACGGACGGACGGACAGACAGAACACTACAGAGATGGGAGTGAGACTTTGGGGCAGGCAAAGGCTTTGTGGGATTAACTAGTCTCTAGATTCTGCCCAGAATCTCCTAAGGTGGTCTCTGTGAGGCCAGCAGAAGCATGGGCTGGGGTGGGAGCCTGAGTTTAGATGAACCACTGGACTGTGCACTCTAGTGGGACAGGAGTTTGATCCTTGGTCTCTCTGTGTTGACAGCTTCTTGCGAAGCCCTCCAGAGGGTATTTACGTGTGCAGCCTGGCACTGAGTGGGCTCATGGTGCCCGCCTATGAATGCAGAGACAGGAGGAGATTGGCAAGGGCTGGAGCCACCAGGAATGCTTCCGGAAGGGGATGGAGAGGCCAAGGGGCGGATACTGGGCAGGCCCTGGAATGAGGAAATATTGCTCAAGGGGAGGCTTAGGCCTGGTTCTAAAAAGCCCACAGACCTTTTCCCCTTTGCAATGTCCTTCCAGCTCCCTCTGTCCTAGGAACGTGGGGATTTCATCTCTAGTGAAGAAACCATGGCCCAGGAAGAGGCAGTGACTTGTTTAGGGTTGCAAGGCAGGTCACCAGCAGTGCCCTGCCAAAGATTTCTCAGGTCAGGCTCTAGGGGAGAAGTGGAGGGCTGGGAGGACTTCCTGGTGTGGGCAGGGCATGGCCTCCAGAGGGCAGATCCTATAGGCGGCTGCAGTCAGAGGGGGCAGGAGAGGCCAGCAGCAAAATATTGGTGGGGTTGGGGGGTGGAGGGGTAGGAGGCTGGGGTGGGAGGTAGTAAGAAAAAAGAGTTGAAGATGAGCCCTGAAGGGTAAGGAAGTTGGAGTGTGTGTGTGTGTGTGCGTGTGTGCGCGTGCACGTGCACACACGTGTGCATGCACATGTGAGTTTGTGGAAATTAAATAATGGGTCTCTTGCCTGCCTGGGGGTAGGGGGTAGGAGAGAAGTGGGATTCCCCTGACTGCAAATATCACGGGGCCAGGAAATCTGTATGCTCTTCAAGCTGCGACTGAGAATTCAAGGTTAAATCTCACCTGCTCTCTCGCATGTGTGCTCTTTCACTCTCTCTCTCACACGCACATACACGCACACATGTGCACACACACCCTGCAGCAGATAGCACTTTAGGTCCTTGGGTATTCCTCGGCCTCTGGCCTGAGCAGCCTCTCCAACAAGGAGTAGAGGAAAGGGAAGGGGCGTGGGAGATCTCTGAGAAGGGGCTGGCTTACAGAAGTCCTTCTTGCCTCACTGACATGAAAAGAGCTTGGTCTGAGGTGACCACCTGGTCAGCTCATTGGTGGGGCTAGAGGTGGCTAAAGGTGACAACAAGTTTGTCAGCTATCTTTTCCAAAGGCTCCTCAGGGCTACCCCTGGAGAACAAGCTAGGTGTGGGGAAAATGGCCACAATGGTGCAGAGGGTGTGGCATGTGTGACTGGTGGCTACTTGGAAGGGAGGCTGGTGCTTAGCTGTCTCACTGTTCAGAGTTCCCTGTTTAGTTCAATTTTTATCCCTGTCTTGGGCTGGATCTGAGACTGCTGAGGACCTTTAAACAGAAAAATGGCAGGGGTCGGGGGATGGGGAGGAGTGTTTGAGTACAGATGCAAGCTCACGCGTAGATGTGCACTCAAAAGTGATCATTTGCATATCCAGAGACACCCTCTCCCCCTGAACATAGATTCCTACTTGTGTAAGAACGTTCACAGACATGCACACGGCATATGTCTAGGGTGTGCATGCAGTGAAGCTCCACGGAAGTATACAGACGTCCATGAAGTGCTCCAAATACACACAAGTGTCCCCTTTCTCTACAGGGGTAAATGAAATACATGGTCAGGAATGTGATTCAAGGGTGGGGAAGCTCAGGCCCAGGGCAACCATTCTCAGGGGCCTCTGGGCCTCACATACCTACTGGAGTGGGGAGGAGGGGAGTGAGAAGAGGGGTCATGCCCCAATCAGCCTAGCTTCTCTATAGAAATGAGGTATAGGGGCATGTGGCCGGGGAAACCAGCTAGGCCAGGCCCACCCTGGCGTCAGACAACTCAAGAACTGAGTTGATCTGTCAAGGAGGAGATGCATTTGGGGGGAGGAAGGCAGTTAGGGAATGCCTTTCTGGCTTTCAGTAGTCTGGAAGGGAGGATGGGGTCTGACTCCCGGACTAGAACATTTTTGTCCATCCTTCCCGCCAAACTTTTACCGCTAATGGCTCTGCTCTGGCCTCAGGAATCTGCATATTCTTCACTCATTCCCCAAGGCCCCTTCAAGAAGCCTTCCCTGACTGAATCCGGTTCAGATTGTTGTGGCGCAAATGATTCTGAGACCCACGGAGCCAATTGAGATTAATTATGAGCCTTTATTAGCCGGCCGGGGACTGACTCTCTACCACGCAGGGTTAGAGGAGATCAACCCGGAGCTTCCAGAGGAGGCAGCTTATAAAGCCTCCTACCACATCCTTGAATAAGCAGATTACAAGAAGCAGAAGTTAGCTGTGAGGAGGCAGCTTATAAAGCCTCCTACCACATCCTTGAATAAGCAGATTACAAGAAGCAGAAATTAGCTGTTAACGTTTTGTACAAAGATAAATGTATCCGGGGAACTCTTAGATCAAACAGGGCCTAGTAGACAGTTTTATTATCTTTACGTTGAAATGTTGCACTTCTCCTGGGGCTGGCGCCTGGAGATATCACCTCCCTGTAACTGGAGAATTTCCACTTTTACAAGATCGGCTCAGACCGCTGTCTCCCAATCCTCTGCGTCCGCCTGCATCAGGGGCTCTGGGGGACTTCGGCCTTCCTTCCTACTCCGGACAGTTCCGGCTTGGACCGAAAGCCTGGGCCTGGGTCGGGTAGGCGGTGCCGAGGGCGGAGGCGCGGCCCGGGGAGGGGCCGGGGCGGGGGTTGGGGGTGGAATAGAGATCAGAGAAAGGTGGCGGGCAGTCGGCTCCGCCCCTACCTGTGTAAACCGATCGGCCCGCGCCTAGCGGATAAAAGCCGCCGGGTCCCCTGGAGGTCAGCAAGTTCGGTTTTCTTTCGCTCGCCGCTAAGTCCAACAGTGCAGCCGGCATGTCCACTCACTTTAGTTCCCAGGTCTTCAGCTCGCCTTCCGCCGCCTTGCCGGGGCGCGGTGCCCAGGTGCGCCTGAGCTCTGTGCGCACCGGAGGCAGCAGCCTCTACGGCCTGGGAGCCTCACGGCCGCGCGTGGCCATTCACTCCGCGTACGGGGGCCCGGTGGGCGCCGGCATCCACCAGGTCACCATCAATCAGAGCCTGCTGGCCCCGCTGCAGGTGGACATCGACCCCTCCATCCAGCAGGTGCGCCAGGAGGAGCGCGAGCAGATCAAGACCCTCAACAACAAGTTCGCCTCTTTCATCGACAAGGTGAGCCCACGGCAACCTGCCCAAGGCATGCCACGCCGTGCTCCAGGTCGCAGCAGCCACTCAGCCCTGACTGCACGTGGGCTAGGCGCTGGGAGGATTGGTGCGCTGGCCAGTGCCAGGAGTTCCTCTCTTTTTGGGCCCCCTTCTCTGCGAGGGGACTCTGTGGAGTCAGAGATGGGGGAGGGGTTACATGCCCTTCCGGGCTGAGGAGACCCCCTTTCTCACACACTGTCTACTCTGAAGCAGATGCTGGAAACAAAGGGCTGGAGGGAGAGAGGGAGACTTCCGGCCACACCCGCCCCACCCTACCTGGTCCTCCAGCTTCCTTTTGGTGGTTGGAGGTGAATGAGGTTATACCTGACTTTGGAGACAGCCCATCTGGGGGCAGGGAGGGGGCACTGAGGGCCATTTGGAAGGAGCTTTTCCTGGCTGTTTGGATCTCACAGGGATGGGAGTTGAGGGATTGAGAGCAGAGCTGCTTATTCTCACTATCTGCAGCTCCTCAGGTCCTGCAGCCCTGACTTGCTGGTTCTGAGGCTTGCTTCCCACCTCCAGTCATACTGGGTCTTTATGGGCCTTTTGGGCCCGAGGGCTCATTTTACGTTGACTGGATTGTAGCACCCTCTCCTGAGGCCTTGCTGGAGGAAAGTGAAAGGGGAGAGAGGACACTAAGGAAGAGACAGATACCAACCTGAAAGGAGGGAGCCGAGTCAGGCCTGGGACACAGACAGGAAGGGGGAATCCCTTCAAAGAGGGAAGGGGAGAAGATCACCTGTAATGTGATGGGAAGCACAGGAGGGAGGAGACCCTAAAGCACAATTGCAAAAACACATCCACGAACCAGATACACCTGACCCCTTGGTCACTCTGTAAGACACCCAAGACAGAATCCTGGGGAAGAGGCTTGCTCTGGGTGGGTTTCCAGAAGGAGAGGGCCAAGGACTGAGGGCTCAGGTTGGGGTGAACATCCAGTGGGAGCTTGGGCTCTGCTGGATGGCTGAAGACCCTCTCAACCCCACTGTGGGAGACACGGTCTGCCCCTCATAAGTTTTCTCCTCCATTTCTCTCCTAGGTGCGGTTTCTGGAGCAGCAGAACAAGCTGCTGGAGACCAAGTGGGCACTGCTGCAGGAGCAGAAGTCGGCCAAGAGCAGCTCCCTCCCGGGCATCTTTGAAGCCCATATTGCTGGCCTGCGCAAGCAGCTTGAAGCCCTGCAGTTGGATGGCAGCCGCCTAGAGGTGGAGCTGCGGAGCACACAGGATGTTTTGGAAGACTTCAAGAATAAGTACTGACCCCCAGTGCCACCTGTGGGGATCCATGTCCTGGGCCACCCTAACCCCCGATCAGTTGGCCCTCTGCAAGTCCCCTCTGGGTTAGGGGTCAGAGGGTGCCGCTGCTCAGTACAGTAACCTCTGAAGCGAGGGTCTCGACTAACACTCCCTGCCTCTCCTAGCTCCTCTGTGTTCCTGAGGGCTGTTTCCAAGTCATTCTGGTCTTTTCTCCTGAATTACTCCCAGTAACATACCTTGTCCCAGCCTTGACCTGCCCTTTTCCCTTTGGGTGTCTGGCCACGATCCCAAGAGAGTAGGGCAGAAGGTGTCCTATGATGGATGTGCTTCAGAACTTGCACGATCCTAGAACAGCTTCATTTTTTTCTGGTGAGGAATTAGAGACCAGAGAGTTTCAGGTACTTGATCCAGATTACACAGCAGATCATTGGGAGAGCTGGGACTTGAATTTTGGGCCCCTGACTCCTAGGAGGAGTCATGGTACCAGTTTGGGCTAGAAAGAAGCAAAGAGAGAGAATGATCATTGTGAGCTGAGGGAGAGGTTGCAGAAACTTGAGGGGCGGGTCTGGGCAGGGTAGGAACCAGAAAGGAGGCTGCCAGGAGGGGCAAGGAGTACAGGGGCCAGGAAAGCTGGGATTTTGAGGACAGGCCTTTTAGGTGCCCACTGAGTTCTCTTTTCTCATTGAATAGAAACCAAAGCTTGAGGCTAGGGCTGGGCATTGGGGATAGTGAGTGAGTTCTGTGCTCTGCCTGGAGGTATATGACTAAGCCAAAGTAGGGATACTGGCTCTGACCTGAGGTAGAATAAACAAAGGCTTCTGTGGAGAGTGTCCACCCCCCACTTCCCTAGGGCAATAGTCAACAGTATAAATCACACAGCAGGTGGAACCAGACAGGTACAGGGCAGGGAAGGCCTTGGGCAACACACAAACCCCTGATATCATGTGTATATGCATATGTAGGCACACATACCCCCCTTTCCTGTGGAGCCAAGCTGAGCTGTGGGCTGGGACTGAAGGAGGGGCTGGAAGGGGCCCAGGGAGGGTTCTGGGTGCAGCTGCCCAGTGACCTCCTGGCACAGTGCTGTGGCAAGGGTGGACAGCCAGCTTCAAGGACAGGGTCCCCAACCCCCAGGATGTGGACTGGTACTGGTCTGTGGCCTGTTAGGAACTGGACCGCATAGCAGGAGGTGAGCGGCAGCCAAGGGAGCAAAGCTTCATCTGTCTTTGCAGCGGCTCCCCAGAGCTAGCATCACCACCTCAGCTCCACCTCAGATCATCAGGCATTAGATTCTTGTAGGAGCACCGGTCCCTGGTGCTGAAAAGGTGGGGACTGCTGCTCAAGGAGATTTCTGTAACTATTCCGTAGGACCTGAGGGAGTGGGACCTTGGGAGTCTGGGCTCCTGGAGGGGCTCTGCCTGCCCGAGCATCCTTCTCCCCACTCCAGTTGCCCCATGTTGTTCCCGTTGCTTTCCAGCAGCTCTCGGGCACTGCGAGTTCCTCTTGCTGACACCTTTTAATTAAATTTTCCAAATAAATACTGGGTTAGGCCCGTGTGCTCTTTTGCTTTGTGCCCTGCTTTGCTGATATCTTCCTATGGGTGGGGCTGGCTCCTTGGGAGAAAGAGGGATGGAAGGGAGATGGGGCTAGACCATCTAGTTGGGGCCTGATTCTTCCAGGAATTTATGCATCCCCCTCCTGATTCCACAAGGTTCCTCCCCTTCAGGCCCCCTCTTCCCTGCTCAGTGGGTGAGATTAGATAGTAGTTAAGGGCTGTGCGAGAGTTCAAGTCTGGGCTTTGCCACTTATCGGCTTAGTGACTGGACAGGTTACTCTACCTCTTCGTGCCTTTGTTCCCTTGTCCTGCTAATCATCGTATCATTGTTAGAAGATTGTTGTGAGCTATTGCATGGGAAGGACTAACAGTGCAGGCCCCACACGAAGTCCATAAACACAACTTTTATTATTTGCTTTCTCATTCCCAGTATATGCAACCTTTGTCCTCTAATTCATCTCTGTTCCCTGATCCCTCAACTCCCCCCACCCCCCACCCCATCCCAGGCCAATATTGAAAGCCTGAGAAATAGCCGTATGGAAGTCAGGGACATCGGGTTTTATACCTGACACCTGGTTTTTCAGGCGTGCCATTGTGGAGGGGGTGAGGGTGATGCAGGGTAGATTTTTGTACCTGGATCTGAGGCAGGGATAAAGGCAAAGCTGCACCAACACCCTGTCTTCCTCCACTGCAGGTATGAAGAGGAAATTAACCGGCGCACGGCTGCTGAGAATGAGTTTGTGGTGCTGAAAAAGGTGAGAGGGAAAAGTAGGAGGGATTGCGGAGGGTTGTTGTCTGAATACATGGGACAGGGGACCACATGGCCCTCTCACCTGAGCATCCAATAGGGACTTGTGACCAAGGTCTGGTCTGGGGACTACAAGAAGGGAGTGATGGGCTTGGAGGCGAGATCTAGAAGCCAAGCCCTTATAGCATAGCGTGTGTGTGTGTGTGTGTGTGTGTGTGTGTGTGTGTGTGTCTGGCGAGTTACTAGACTTCTTTCTGGGCCTGGAGGGGTTAGAATTAATATCAAAGGATAAAGGTTAGTAAGGGAGATTTCAGCCCCAAATAAGGAAGTGCTTTACCACAGAACACTTCATTACAGACAAGGGTGGCACATGGCAGACCTGAAATATTTGCTGAATGAATGGAATGGGCTGTCTTGAAGCAGAGTGAGTTCCTCATTCCTGGAAAAGTGAGCCAAGGTTGGAAGGCCTTAGAAATATCTTAGAGGGCCTTGATTTAAGATTCTGATTCAACACACACTCACTGAGCAGCTGAGTATTCCAGGCCCATCCACATAAATGCAGCCTGCTCTAGTGTGCTGGGCCCTTGGAGATTCAGGGATAGGTAAAAGTGGGCTCTACCCATAGAAGTTTAACCACAGGAAGGCATGGCTAGAAGGGGCCTAGACATAATCTTGCCATGTGGTGTTATCTGTGGCTCCCTGCATTGGAATCATCCATGCTGCAAATTAAACATTTAAGCTTGAGATGTTTCATCTCTGGGAGCAGTGTCCTGGAATCTGAATGATTTTATGCTCTTATTTGACTGATGAGAAGTTGAGGCTCACAAAGTCAAAGTGATTTGTTCACAGAGCTAATAGGTGGCAGAGCCAGGAGTGTGTCCAAACCACCAAGGCCTTTAGGAACTGGTAAAGTGCTAGCTTTGGGGCTTCAGGCTGCTCTGTGTTACCAGTGCCAGAAAGGCACCTCCAGTCCTGGGGTTACATGGAGATGATGTCCATCACACAGCCTGGGAGGGGTCAGTGGAGGTAACTTCCTGTCATGGGCATGTCAGGCAGCCTGGAAAAACCATGTGTTTCTTGGTAGGGCAGTGGTGGTTAGCCCTGTGGGCCGGACAGTACTGGCATACTCCTACCCTGCTAAATGTTCATGTACTGAGGACATGGTATCTTTCTGTCTCTTCTCACTACCACCCTTAGGATGTGGACAATGCCTACATGAACAAGGTGGAGTTGGAGGCCAAGGTGAATGCCCTGAATGACGAGATCAACTTCTTCAGGACCTTCTATGAGATGGTGAGGACTTCAGGGGTGGGAGACATGTCATGTCCTACATGTCCTAACCAGGGTGCCATCTGGTTCACCGTCTGCCTCTGGGCCAGTCTAGATATGTGTTATGTGTGTGGGGGTACCTTTATCCTGCTCTTTATTCTTTCTGGACTCAGGAATCCATGATGGAGGAGCTGGTGGCAGCAGAGCAGGGTGGGGTCAGTCAGTGTTGGCCTTCCAGAGACATGGAATGACCATTTGTCTGGAAGGAGGATCGGGAGGGACTGAAAGGAGCCAGGAAGATATCAAGGAATCCAGGGCTAAGACAGTGTTCAAAGGTGGGCTGGGAGGGGTGGGCAGGGGGCCTGAGGCAGGAGAGACTGGAGTGCCTGAGGGTTTCCACCCAGAAGGACTGGGTGTGAGGCCGCCCACCAACCAGCCACTCTATCTGTCTTCCCTTCCATCTCATTCTTTCTCTCTCATGCTTGCCATGGGCTTCTAGCTTTTTCTCTCACAGGACTTAAAATCGTCTCCACTCCCATCACTGTGTACCTTAGGCCTTAGGCAGAAGATAGGGTGGCTAGTCATCTGGCAGGGTTGGTCTGGGACATAATTACGTGAGAGGTTAAGTACAGCTCTCAGTTCAGGCTAGTCTTTGCCTGAACATCCAGCCTCCCTTTAGCCCCTCAGAGTGAATTTGCACATGTGTTAATTTCAGGGGCTGGATCCTTGAAGCTTGCTTTGAGTGCTTCTAATCTCAGGGTAGGTCTTCATATGTTTATCACACATTATATATATGCATATATATGTATGTGCATATATATGTGTGTGTGTGCATATAAATATATATGTAATTTTCTCATTATGAAAGAAATACACACTCATTGCAAAAATTCCCAGGAAATTAAGTAAAGCATAAGATTGAAAACAGGTCACCTATACCTGTTCTTATCATCTTGTTATCTACCTTTTTGAGCTGTTCTTGTACATATATACAGCCAGAAATATATTTTAATGAAAATAGAACCATACTTTTCCCATGTAACAGTATACCATGGGTATAGTTCCCTGTTTGCAAATACAACCATATAATCAGTTTTAAAGGCTGCAGAATGTTTCATTATAGGGCAGAATATGACTTATTTTACCTACCCCCTAGAGATCCCCTTCACAGTAGAGCTCATGTTCCAGCAGTATCTCATAGCAGGAGTCATCACAGCTCACCACACTCTGTCACTTTATCTGCTGTAATCCCATCAGACTCTTATTTGAAAAATTGCTAATGGACTCTTCAGGGAGCCAGGGTAGGTGGAACCATTCAGCTGGTGCTGGTCTGTGGCCCCCTGCTGCCTGATTAATCACACCTACTCCGGCCTCT